CCAATTCTTCTGAAAAGTCAAAGAGATTAGGAGTTCTTAGTCTGGGTATCAGGGCAGCTCTTGAATGGACTCAGGTGTGAACTTCTTGAAACTTTATGAAAATGATAAGTGCGTCCCACTTTCTTCCTCAAACTTACTGGCCTAGCATACTTGGCCAACTTCAGATTCTCAAAGGTTCTGCAACCGAGAAAAAAAAGTTGTGATTCACTCATAGATGAACCCCAAAGTTTCTTTTAAATTTGGAAATTCTATAAGGCTCTCTCACAACTGTAGGAACACCTTAAAAACCAAGTCTGTGCACGAGTTGACACTCGGAGCTTCTATCTTGGGGAAGTTAAGTAAATATGTGGCAATGCAAATGATGGGAGATTTCCGAAATGGCCACCTCTTTTTCTTTCTTGATCTGTCATTCTCAACTTTCTCAATCAAAATGATGTGCAACAAAATAAAACCCAAGAACCTGGCAGGTAACTCTGAAGTTCTAACACATTTTATATACCTTTGTATATTTTTGTTCAATTAGTTAAGCTGTCTCTTAAAACAACAAACAAAAGGAAAAGCTTTCACTTTTCAACTGTGAAGGTTTGCAGGTGTAAAATATACCATCTATTTAAAATTTTGTAGTTGTTCTTCTTTCTTTTTTCTATTGAAATCCCAACAGGATTTATATCTAACCATAGAATATGAAAGCTATAAAGAACTTCAATTCTCTTCTTGTCTGGATCTTTTGTCAATGACAGGGAAGCTGCCAGAAAGAGGGACTACGTGAACCGGATGAAAGAACCTCCGGCAGGCAAATAACAGAGCTGGGAGTGGAAGCCCGGTCTGGCTACTTCTAACACAGCTCTTCCGACTCAAACCCAGTTCACCCAGACGCCAACTCTGCACCTCACTCACCTGCTTGTTCAGAGAACACACGTACCAAACCAACCGAATGCGGGAGCAGTTTGGGAATTCACAAAGGAGTGAAAAGTCAGATGTTTCACAAAGGAAGTGCTTGTTTGCAGGTCTGCAGAGTTGTGGGTAAAGGGGACTGGGGTGGGCCCGGAACAGGTGACTAATGGGAGGAAAGGAGCAAAGCAGGGACTTAGCCCCAAGCAGGGAAGTTTGACAAGTAAGTCAAGTAAGGTCAGCTAAGGAAGATAGCTGGGGAAGAAGACTAGGTGGTAGCAGGTGCTAATAAATAACTGCAGCACCAAACTCCACAGCTCTGCTCCCAGCTGCTGCCCCAGACTCCTCCTTCCCATCCATCTTATACCCTCTGCAACTAAGCCCTTGCCCCTCCCCCCCCCCCCCTTTCTTTTTCTGGGCCTTTGCTGAAGGCTTAGCCTCCTTGAATGCTGCCCTTTCCCTCCATGCTAGTACTTAGCTAAATCTCTCTATTCTTTCCCCCCAAATCAAGTGTCACCTTTTCTCACCTTCCAACCCCGCTCCTGAAACTTATTACTTGCCCCTATACCAAACTTTTAGAATGAACTGTGTATGACTCTCCATTGTGGGTCTTAAAATCACATGTAACCAGTGATGGTTGCGGTGTTGGAATTCCGTACACAGGAAACTATCATCAAAGATTAACAGTACTATAAATCACAGAATCTCAATCAATGAAAAGAGTTCCAAAACATGTCTTATTCCCTCAGTGGGATCAACGGCCCTTTAGATAGGATCAGTCATTTTTCATCTTTTCTTTCATTCAACAAATATTTACTGAATGCCTTTCAGATATCCTGTGCCATGGATGCAGACTTGTGACACTAATCCTCTAGTGGTGACATGGGCGATCAAAAAGATGAACAGGGCACAGCCGAGAAGGGCTATGCAGGTCAGGGGCAGGAGTTGTGGAAGTACAAAGTTAGAGCACTTAATCCTGTCTCGAAGGTAGGGGAGGTAGTCAGGAAATATTTTCTGGAAGAAGGGACATCCAAGTGGCTAGGAGAAAGACAAGTGGCAGGTACCCAGGTGATGAGCAGGGGATGCATTGGAAGGTGAGGCTGGCTGCCATCTATATGGTCAGATTGTATGAGGCTTCCATGCCAGTGAGGAGGGCATGGAAGGCAATGGGAACTGAAGGCAATGGGAACCCCTGATGATGCTCAGCACTCTCCTCCCCTCCTAAACATTTAGAATGTCCTAAATGCTTGAATAAGAGAGAAAATGATCGGGACATTTCAGAACGTCTTTTCATATATGGATCCCAGGTAAAATCCCCTCCACTTCTTAGAGTCAAGTAAGTGTCCCAACAATTAGAACTAACTAATATTCCCACAACCAGGAAAATACTAGTTGGTAACTTCCTGATAACAAGCCTGGAATGCATTTAATCTGGTAAGTGACCCAGCCTGAGCTTGTGACTTTCTGATTGCCTTTCCATTTCTAGCTCTTAAAGAGGCCCCTGACAGGTAGAATGTTTCTTGGGAGGACCTCCATTTCCAAAGCTGCAGACTCCTGCTTCCAGCTGCATAAAGGGAGAAGGAAGTGATTGGGAGGGGGAAGGAGTAGGCCGGAGTCCTTTCTCCCCAAGTCTTTGGCTCTCGACAGGGAGCCGGGCCAAGACCCACAGCCCAAGCACAGCCACGCAGAAGTGGCTGTGCTAGAAGAGCAAGAGGAAGGGAGGGGACAGGAAGTTGCATACTTGAGGTTCTATGCCCATCACGCAAGGAAAATGAATTTTCAGCAAGTTTGTTGAGTTCCATGTTGCCAGCTCCCCACCTCCTCTCCTCTGTTAGGAAGGGGATGTATAAACTCGCCTCACTCATAGGTCTGGCACCATATGCACTTCCTGTCCACGCAAGGCCTGGAAGCTGGTCACCGGGATGACTCACTGCTGACAGTAACCAGGGTTCCAGGCCCCATGTTCCACTTGAAACATGTACAGAATTGTTCTTGTGGCACAGACTTTGAATTCTTCTCAACCAACTACTTTGCTGCTACCATTCCCCCAATGAACCATTCTCTCCTTAACTGGATACTTCCTTTTCTTCTTCACAGAACACATTCCAAGGGCATCAGCTCCAGGGCTGGGCAAAGCCCTCCCCAGGTATTGAAATTCTCCCATGAACCCATAGCAAGAACCCACTTACGGACTTTCTCCGCATGAAAGGCACCACAGTATGTGCATTACCACATGGAATCTTTGTGACAGCCCTGAAGGGAGGGACTACTTTTACTCCTACTTGATACATAGACACTGTGACTCAATGTCACTTGCTAGCCTGATCATTTACCACTGTTCTATACTGCCACTTTCTGCAGCAAAGAGTCCACCATTTTCAGTCTCTGGCCTTAGAGGTCCGGTAACTGTCCTCTGTGCTCCTGTACCCTCCAAACCTCCAAGTCTGCCCTGTGACTCTGTTGTCTGCCTGTCTCTGTGGAACTGAAATTCCTAAAGAGCATGAAGATGACGACCCTTGTATTTTGCACAGAATCTGGTACATACAGGCCTTGAAACATTTGTTGAGTGAATAAATATAGCTTTATGCTTATAAACATAAACATAAATGAGTTCTGAATCACCTTAAGAGGCCAGAACTTAGCCTATCCTTTGCTTCCAACCCTCCTCAGATCTAACACCTGAACCAAGAACCCTGCTCCTCCTGGACAATACTAATACTCCCCAAGCAAGCAAACAGTTCTCGTGAGCATCCACTTGGCCTCAGTGGGCCTCAGAGAGCATCCACTTGGCCTCAAGCACAGTCTACTATGGGTAGCACTGTCTGTAGCACTGTCCTCCCGTTGTTCATTGATTTGCTCGAGCGGGCCCAGTAAAGTCTTCATTGTGAGACATATTGAATATGTGTTTGGCATATCAAATACATCACAGGGAGCTTGTCAGGCTTTGCTGTGCAGGCGAGAGACTCTCAGTAACTTGCTGGGCTTTCCGAGAGGGGCAGAGGAATTGAATCCGGGTCAGCTGGGCCCGCTGCGTGCAAGGCAAACGCCCTACCGCTGTGCTATCGCCCAGCCTTACTATGGTTATTAGACAATAAATGGTTTGGGGGCATTCTAGAATGTTCTCTACTCCAGAAGTGGCTCTACAGCACCCAAGATGGGAGCTCCACAGCTTCTATCTACAAAGTGTCGATGTTTTGTTTCTAGATCCTGTGCTAAGCACTCAGGCACACTGCTTTGGGGAATCCTTTCACCCACTTCTGAACTGAAGTTCAGAGAGAGGAAGTAATTCCCAAATAATCAGTAAGAGAGGCATCCAGACCTAGCTATTTACTTGGAGAAGCTGTCCAAAATCTTTAACTTTTGGGGGGTTACTGAACAGCAGTCAAAATGGGAATCATGATATAAGCACCACAATAACTCCCCAACCATTAGTCAGTCCTCAAAACACCCTGAGGTCATCTTGATCAAGATCCTGGAATTACTGACGCTGGCCCAGAGAATACATGGAAAGTCACCTAAAGACCCAGCATGCCCCTGGCAGGGCCTTATCTGTCAGGACTGCAGTGCTTGGTACGGCATAGTCTGTTTGTCCCAGTACCAAAATGTGCTTGCTCGTCAGTGAACAGTGTCCACAGTACCACACAAACATGAGACAGAACAAAGAGCTGACAGCTGAGCACTGGCAGAGCATCATAGGTTATGGAAACAAAGTGCATCTCACACAAAACCAAGCCACAGTGAGCCAAACCGCAGCTGCAGGGTTAGTCAGAGCAGACTGAGGTAACTCTCTGAACACATAGGGAGCATGAGGAAGTCCTTCCTTCTCACAGGCTGCCATCAGCCCCTCCCCCCTCCCGAAGGAAGGAGGGGGTAATTTCTGAATCACCTTAAGAGGCCAGAACTTAGCCTGTCCTTTGCTTCCAACCCTCCTCAGATATAACACCTTGAGCCAAGATCCCTGCACCCTCCTGGACAACATTAATACTCCTCAAGCAAGCAAACAGTTTTTGAGAGCATCCATTTGGCCTCAGCGGGCGGACCATGGCTGAGGCAGCTGGCCCGCCCTGCCCGGTGAGACGAAGGCACACACAGTCATGCCGCAGGCCTACCTGGCTCACAACACTCTGAGCGGCCTTCCTCTCAGCCTGCTCGCCACCTCTAGGAAGGTCTGTCTGCTCAATCTCCCTTTCCGGAAAGGGGCCACCCAGGGGCTTGCTGAGCCGGCTCTCCTCGGGACTGTGGAGATCTGAGAGTCTCTGTTCAGTGCTCAGGCTCCTGACCACGTCTGATGGCTTCAAGCAGCTCTTCTTAGAGATCTTGGGTCCGCCGAGGCCTCTCTCACCTGCCTCTCTTTCTGCTCTCCTCTCAGATTGTCCGCTCTCTTCTTGCCACAGCCGCTGCCTGCCCTGGCTACTAAAGGCATTGCTAAGTTCTGAGATGACCCTATCAGAGCTCCTAGGAGGCACTGGTGGCTGGGAGAAGCTATACTGGTGGACGCCAGGAGGGGACGTGTGGACACCATTGGCTCCATTGAGCTGAAGGGCAGTATGGGCACTGGGCTCTGGGGAGTAGGTTCTGTCAGGGGCAGGCAGAGCCAGCGGGGAAACAGCAGAGTAGGGGGCAGGATGGTCTGACCAATTCAGATGGGGGAGGCTGACAGAAAGCGAGGGACTGGGTCTTGACAAAAAGGCCAAGGGATCCCTCTTATAGATGGAAGCCTCTGGCAGAGGAGGCAAGGGAGGCGTCAGTGCCAGAGAACGCTGGCCTGGGACCCCGACAGTCAGTGAAATCCACTCAGAGGTGACAGCATGCATCTCAGGGGACAGGGCTCGGTGAGGGGAGGGCATGGATCGGGGGGCTGGTATGAGTTCCTTGCCGTGACTCGGAAACTTAAACAGAAAAGGAGAGAGGAAAAGAAAAGAAAGAAGCAAAAGGCACAAATGTCAGCATAAAGGAGAAAGAAGGAGACCCATCACAGGGGATATACAGAGAGGGGTGAGACAAGCAGGCACACTGGTGCCGGAGAAGGAATCACTGGGTTAAGTTTGGAGAGAAAATGGTATTTGGGCGGGCATCTTCACGTGCATGCAACATGTGTGTGCAGACGGAGGATGGGAGAAGTGGGATGAGGATGGGAGAAGGAGTCCCTTTGGGGCAGTGACTATGGTGCTGGCCTGGTTTGCGCAATCAGACATTCAAAGGGACACACTGGGATTCCTCCCCAACTCATCCCACCTCATCACCTCTGCAGTATGATGCAGAAACAGGAAGAAAGGGTTCCACCATTGCACTGCCCTGGCCCCTCTTGGATTTTCATTCCCTTGAGCAGTGTGTGTGTATGTGTGTGTGTGTGTGTGTGTGTGTGTGTATGGGGGTGGGGGGCATTGAAGGGGATATGTGCAGCCAAGAACCTTCTAGAGAGGAGTGTGAGTAATGCAGCCACCTGAATTTCTACTCCTGCCAGGCCCAGGTCAAGTGAAAAAACAATTTGAGTTTCCCATATTATCCCAAAGCAAAATGACCCGCACAGACATCACCCTGCTGAGCAAATCAAAGGGCTCAGGGCTAACTGCACAGGTATCCCTGGGACAGCCCGAGGCAAGGCTCTCAGCCAAGAGCCACCTCTGGGGTCACTGATGAGAAGGTGGAAGAAAAGGAAATGACTAGGCGATGAGAGAAGAGGACCAAACAAGTGTCACCCCTAGCCCTGGTCCCATGCTTCCCTCTGGCTTCCTCCTGACATGTACCACACAGAATGATCAGTGTCTTGCACAGGAAGTCACCCTAGGGCCTCTCCTGAGCCCAAGGGCCTAATATTTTTTTTGGCTTTGGAAAAGGGGAGACAGGTTTAGAATAACTTCTGTTCTCAAAATGAGTTTGCTCATAATGGTCAGAAAAGCAAACATTCGATAATCAGCCTTCGCTCTGCCCACCCAAAGTAGAGAGGATGTCTGATTCCCAACTTTATTCTGGCTTACCACGATACTCTGATCTTTACCTTCTGTAGGTCAACTATGACCAATGAGCTGACTGAGAACTACACTGGGTGGCGGACCAGGATGGGATGTTTCTAGCCTAGAGTTTGGGGCCAACTAATAATGGTTCTTATCTTTTGCCTTAGTCATCTTATTCCCAGAGTGATCAACTTAAGCAGTTTCTTTTCTCTTGAGCTAATATTTATGCCACCGAGTGCTAGGCAAATATTTGTACTCAAGAAAACACATCCCAGTGTGGATACCCGACATTGCTCCAGACAGTTCTCAATCACCCTGAAGAACCATGCCAGAGAGGCCGTGTGTGGCAGCCATGGTGGTTGTGCCATGCTGACTGTGAATACCAGAGATGAGAAGCTTTGGTACCTGGGGGCTTGCAGCAGTGCTCCGACTTGGGGATGAGAAAGGCAGGTCGATGTAATCCACGGGGTGCTTGACCAGTGGCCGTTTGAGCACATCCACATACGTGATGGGGAAGATGCCTTGGCGGGATGTCCCTGGAATCCTCCCCTCATACCAGTTCTCATCCACTTGTCGAAGCAGCGTGATCCTTTCACCCTGAAAGATGCAGCAAAGCAAAGCGTTCTTGTTACACCTGCCTCAGAAAAGCCTTTGACACAACCCCTGAACAGGATAATAGCTCACTGGAATAAGTATGGCATGCACCCCCTTGCCACACTCCCCCCAGCCTCCCTGGCAACAGGACCATCCAATATGATCCTAAGCAAGGAACCACTTACCTTTCTGAATGACATTTCTACTTGTGTATCACCATTAAAGTTAAACTTAGCAATAGCTTCTCCATATTCCAAAATCTGCACGGGTGGCAACTTTTTGGGCTGAGCCTTCTCAGCGGGAGGAAGCAGCTGAGAAAGTTAAAGGCAAAAGAGAAAAGGAAAAGGAAGAAAGTGGAGGAAATGAGAAGAGAAGGGGAGAAAAAAAACAAAAAATATGCAAGCATTTGGTAAATGATCAAGGTTTGGGTACAACCGGGTTTTTCTGTAGAAAGACAAGGACCACATGCAGTACCTCGATGTAGGTGCGGGGAAAGATGCCCACGCGGCCGTGGTGCTCTCCTTCATACCAGTTCTGATCAATCTGCCTATATATGTAAACAATATCTCCCTTCTGCAGAGGTAGCTCCCTGTCAACAGAGGGTCAAGACTTGTCAGCAAGTGTTTTATTAAATATTAAGACACTCAGCAAAAGGAGATTTGGAGAGGGGTCACAGGGGACAAATTATCGGAGGAGGCTCTACATTTAGAAGCAAGAACCTGTACTATTCAGGAAATTATGTAACTTGGGCATTTGTCCCAGTCTTTTGTGGGTTGGATGGTACCTTTAAAACCCTCTCGCTCTCAAAAAGCACTCAATGGTTGCGGTTTTCTTAAAAGTATGTTTTGTGAATGATGTCTTAGGCTAGAACATTTACACAACACACAAAAGTGCATCTCCCCATCTTAATTGACGTTCATTATCGTGATAAAAATGCTTCCTTATAAAGACATTAACTACCAGCACTGTTCTCTCCTACACCCTAGCAAGCCATGCCTTTCTTGCTTCAAGTTATTTGTGAAACACATCCTTCTCTCATTCCCTCCAGAGAGCTGCCACTCACTCACTCACCCTTTCACAATCTCTCTCTAATCCTGAAAGGTTATGAAGTTAGGTGGACCTAAGTTCAAAACACGATTACTCTATTTTACTAACTAAGGGATTCTGGGCAAGATTCTCTTTCTGAGATTACTTAATCTGAAAAAAAAAAAGCTAGTTGAGAGGTATTAAAAAAATTGAACTACAAAGTCCAAGCATAACACCTAGCACAGTGCCTCTGTCTGCAATTAGTGCTCAGTTACATTCATTCCCTTCCTTCTCAGTGTGGAAGAGGGACCATGAAAAGAAAAGTGGAGCATTTACTTATCCAAACCTATTCGTCAGGAATAATGTTAACCTGTAATAACTATGAGTTCTCTTGAAATGCAATAAAACAGAAAAAAGAAAGATAAATGACACACAAAATGATAACTTCAAAGGAAAGCGAAAAAAAAATGTGAGTTGAAATTTTCTTGAATTTAAAAGAAAAGGACCCAGGTCTTGATCCATTTGCACTGAACCAAGAGCACATCAAGCAAAGTTTCTGACTGTAATTTGAAGGAGGTGTGTCTGCTGAGTGGTGTGCCAGGAAGTCCCTCAGTACATGAGAGGGGCTGGCTACACAATGGGGGCACATCTGGAAAACTTTACACAAAGTCAACACTGTGCTGCATGAACAAGGCGGCCTTTGTGGATCTGGCATTGGTAGGTAGCATTTTAATCCTAAAGAGGTGCAGGAAGGAAGGGGAAGCGGGGTACTGGTTTCTAGAAAAAAGCAATGGTTTACTCAATTTTTGCCATAACCCTCTGTGTGGGGGTCCTGAGTACCACTTCTCTTCACTTCTAACCAAAGACATGGGGATAAACAAGACGTGCAGCACATCTAATCTTTTGGGAGATCTGCAGATTCAACCTCAGCCCAGCCAAAGTGACTTGCAGTTGGGAGCAACAATGGCCCCAGTGGAGGCAGAGTAGGACAGTGGGAGTGGCAGAAGTGTGTCGCTGTAGCCAAAGGAGGGGTGTCAAGAGCTACCCTCCTTCCAGCACTGTGGACCACACCCCATCTGGCAAAGAACCACTTCGATGAGATCTGGTGGGAACAATGTTTGAGAAACAACATGATCTAGCTGACATCTTTTCTGCCGTGTCCCCCTGTACATTAGCCTGGTGCAGTGCCCCAGAAGTCCTGTGCAAGAAGCCTGTTTCACTCTGAGGACCGAAATATTCCCACAGGATGCTCCTGTAGTAGCTTAACTAGGTGGGAAAATAGAACCTAGGGACTGAAAATATTAAAACTTTAATATTTAAAATATTTAAGAGACTCAAGTCCATGGTCTGACCTGGACTCTTTTGTACTTTTTTCTAGAGGTCTGCTGAAAACAGATTCAGGAGGAAGGAATCCTTTTGCCCTGCTGATAAATGGGACAAGCTGGGTTTTTCTCAGCTTCCCTACCTGTTCTATTTGATAGCACTTCTTGAATGAAAGACTGATTGTTGAAGTCTAGATAAACATAGCATCACAAAGTCATTCAATGAAAGTTTTAACTCAAGGGGGAAAAAGAGATACAAACTTAAGCTGTATGATGCAAAATACTTTTCAGTATCATCTTAGCTATTCTTTAAAAGAGGCATTTTGATGTCAATTCTACACCTGACAAAATGAGGTGGAAGAGGTGAGTGGATTGTCCACATTACAGGAATCACTAGTTGCGCCATCGAGATTCCAACCCAGACTCCTGACTCTAGAGCCCATCGCCTTTTCAGCCCTGGATACCACCACCTGATGAGCTAGAGGACAGGAGTAACTACAAACAAATCCAAGTTTACCTCATTTGGACCTCAGTTCTGATAATCAGGGCCTGACCACCTATCTGTGCTGGCGATGAGAACCACAGCTGAGTGCTGCAACTCAGCATTTCCTGCACGTGGTGTCCAGGGATGGGAGGGGAGCCCTCCCTCCTGCCACCAGATGTGAGACCTCCGGCAGAACAATGGGATGGCTGCTGTTCATTGCTGCCAATGAAAACTCAGGGTTCGTTTTCATCCATAATTAGACATGAAGTGAGTGGTTTCCTTTGGGAACCCCGTCTCTGGTAGCATTTCCCAAATCTCATTCCATGGAAAATATAAAGATTTCCTGGTCATCTAAATTTAGATGAGAAAATAAGCTAATCAGGTTTCTTCTAAGACTTCTAGAACTATGAATATGTCAATAGGAGGGAAGGTGGTAGAGACATAGTATGCAGTGGTTCCCCAACTATGCAGGAACTTTGAGAAGTATTTTTCCAGACTTATCACAATCCAGAACACAGTGTTTCTTCTTCATGTGCCTCTAAAGAGCCTTTAAGCTCTTGGGAGCAATATAAGCATAGCAAATCTGGTAAAGTTATTTTCCTAGAAAATGGACACAACTCCCTCCACAAAATAGGTGAGTCAGATGGAGTCATCTCTTAATCAAGTAAACAAAAGTCTCTTATAGGAAGCAGCAGCATGGTGTTTTGAGAAGAGTGCAGATTGCCTGGGTTTGAATTCCAACTCTATCATCATCCAGTTCCAGCAAGTTCCTTAACACTATAGTTTCTTGACTTCCCCAGATACATAGAACATTAGTAACTATAAGCCCCTCATAGGGTTACACATAATGGATATAGAAGAAGACAGAGTCTTTGTGTATAGTACTTTGAACAGCAATTGGTACCTTGAAAAATTCTATAAATGATTTCTTTTTATGTTATTATTTCTCTAACTCTCCCCTACAAAGCAAACATTCCTGTTTCAAAGAGGCAGTCAAAATGACAAATGTGACTGGTGGCACTTACTTTAGTGTCTGAGCTTTAAAGTCATATTTGGCTCTTGCCGGTCTCATCTAGACATAAGAAAATGATAACAAGTTAAAATCACAATTCACATATGATAAGAAGAACACAGTCCCACAAGTTTCCAGAAAGCAAAGCAGAAAATTCACTCTAACCAGTTCGTTCTGCTATAGAAATCTGGGAAAAATTCCACTTGTCTGACCTTAGCAGAATACTACATGGATTTTTGGTCAACTACGTCATGCATGAGCATCTCTCTTGGAAGGGCCAGATTTGGGGAAGACACGATTAGAAAAGTGGCAAAGCTTCAGTGCTAGTTCCCCAAAGCTGACCACAATCATTAAAGACACAAATAAGCCAAGATTGGCCAAAAGTTCTAACCCACTCCTAGGCTGTGGTCTTACTTTTCAAGGGACACATTCTATTTTCCTAATTTTCATTGAAATTATGATCTGAAAGTAGATAAAGCCCTGGTTGACCTCTCATGATAATTTTCAGCTGCATTTATTCATCTTGGTCCGTGAGATTCTCTGGAAAGTCAGATAAAAGTGAGCCCTGGGCTCATCTACGGCAAGGTTCCATTCCTGTTGAACTGCTTTTACCTTCCAGACCCCATCCCCACCTCCTCACCCCACCTCCAGTTATCAAGACACGACATCTGTCTAGAACCCTTCTCAGGACTGACCTCCAGTTCTGCAGGCACAAAGCTTCTTTTGTGAAACTTCGCACTGTCTCTCTTTAATCTACTGCCACTCAGGAGCATAAATAACATTCCTTGAATACTTCCATCACATCACTTCCTTGAAGTTGGCCCAGACTCTCAACCATCCCTCAGATCAAATCTCAATTCCTGACGTGGGTTAAGGCCTTTGGGTAATCTCTCCCCACTCACACCTAACTGCCTTCATCCTTTATTACACTTTTTGCTCCCGTCAGACAAAACTATTTGTTCTATCTTGTCTAAACTTTTCTGCCTGGTATTTCTTCATCTCCAATTCCAACCGAAAGTTGGTCTACACTATATTTATTTGTGAATTTTCTTCTATACTGTTAAAAAGGGAAGGGAGGAGAAATCATGTGAGGAGGCTGTTTATGGCTGTCACTATAATTCTGCCTCTAGTCATGAGCTGTTACAACTTCTTCAACTGCTATGATTCTCAGGACTTGGGAAACAATGTGATGCAAATTAAATTACACACTTCCTCTTCAGTTTTAGAGGGTATGAACTAAATGGAGTGGGGAAAATGGGAGAGACTAGGTGAGGAGAAATAGATAATTATGAGTTTCACCATGTAGAGGTTAGACCATAATTCTTAGTCATATCCAAGTACCTGACATTGGGATCTTGCCAGGATCTTCTGAAGGGTCATAAATTTACAAGAACTTTATTTTTTCCTTTTATGCTGATATTTCCACCTCTCTCTCAATATATACACATACTAGAGGTCAACAGAACACCTTATAAACCAATGTAACACAGCTCAATGCCTGCATTAATTTAAAATTTTAAATTTTAATAAGTGGTGCTCAGTGACACCCAGCTATAGAGCAAATTGATATCACCTATCAATTACTAAAACTTTGTAGGTATTTAGCTTGTTATATAGTTGGTAAATTGGCTTAGGTCAATATTGGGAGACGTTTTTCAATACAGAAAATCTCTCCATAATAAAAATTTTGAAAGAATGAGTCTATTGATACTTAAGACTTACTAAATGATTGACCACTGGTTATCCAAAACATCAGCTCCCTCTTAATTTTCTTCTTTCTGATGCCAAATCTATCTTTCCTTCCTCTTCTAGAGCACTGTTATCTACTACAGGAGAGATAACTGTTATGATGATGCCTTTTCCATTAAACCACCAGCTTTTCAGGGATATATCTGAATCTTACTGCTGCCTCCTGACTCAGGGTCATTGAGTGAATTAGTGGCCACCAAACTCTACTGAATGGAACCAAGCACTATATCTAGATGAGTGATTTTAAACTCCTGGTCCATTATTTGGTGTATGGAGCAGTGCTGGTTTGCAGGTATAGAAAGGTTGAACATCACTGGTCTATAAAGCCTGGTTTAAGACTTGTTGTTTCTCATTTAAATCCATATCTAATGCACTGATTCTCAAAGTGTGGGCCCTAAATTGATAGCTTCAAAGTCACCTGAGAACTGATTAGAGATGAAAACTTTCTGGTCCCACATCAGCATTGGAAATGCTATAGGCAGAGGTCCATGATGGGTATTTCAACCAGCCCCTCACTCATGAAGTCTGATGAAAGTTTGAGAATCACTACTCTGGGAGGAGGCTGAACAGGCTGGGCAGAGTTTTTTTTTGTCCTAGCTACACTTCCAGTTGCATGCATCCCTGTGAATTGGCAGCCTAAGGTACCTTTGCACATTCTCATCTCCCCCATCACTCGCGTGCAGGGAAACCAGTGAACAAGAATAATTGACCCTAGAAATTTTCTGAACAGGGAAGTTTTGAGAAGGAGCAAGAGCACAGAGGGCTGAGGACCTTCTGACTTTGGCAACTGACTACTTTCTGCCTCTTCCTTGTTACAAGATTTTTCTTTTTAGTCATTTTTTTTATTATGAAGAACCAGTGATGCCTCTGTTACTCAAGAGATAGAAACAAAAATATGAATTGACAATTAAAAAAAGTGAATATTGTATAGGACTCTGGGGTTTTACTCTACCAATTCTCGAACCCTCAACTCCCAGACACACAAATTCCATGAAAGGAGTAAATAATTCTTCAGCAGGCCTATGATGGGGCACGTGGCCAAACAAACTCTGACGCAGGCTCCAGCACTGGGCGAGCACAAGAATTTCAACATGCTGACCTTAGTGCAGGAGGCCAGGAAAGCCTGGATGAAATCACTTTGGTGGTTTATGGTTTTGCCCTGTTATAATATCAAGCTTTTGTAAACTCAACTGAGAAATGTCAAAATGAGGGAACAAACGCACTGTCTCTCATGGAGCTCCTTTATGGGCCATGGGCTTCCCCTATCTGTAAGAACTCTGGGTTTCAACATTTATTCATGGAAACTTTAGCCCTCATGAGCAGCAGTATTCTGCCCGAATATTTCAATGTGACTGGCACTAAAATTTGGAGCTACTGTCTATACTAGAAACAAAACATCACTGGGTAACTTTTGCCATTTCACAAAATCATTCCTTTAGAGAACCATCTTATCATTGTCTACCCCATAGCTACAAAGGTTTCTAAGCAGAATGCACAGGCAACACAGGCTCATGATAAAATGCAGGATGTACAGGACTGGACTCATGAAGGCAGCCGATGCTCTAAGGCATGCAATAGGGGTGTGCACTAGCAGATCCGGATCCCACAGCCAGGCATGCTTGAACATAACAGAGCACAGGACATAATGGGAATCACGTCCAGTGACCAGCCATAGAGGAGCCAAAGCAAGCCTAAGGGAAGGCAGGATGACAGATGCTGTTTGGAGAACTAATTTGGCCTACAGAGGGCACTGCCAAAGGAAGGCAAATATTGCTTTGGGTCAAGCAGCAGATCGAGGCAACCAAAACAGACCTCTGACCCAGATTTCCTTTTTGCCGTATCGTCTATATTGAGGAGGTCCCCAAAGCGCTCATTAGTGATAAACTGATGGTGTGTCGGAATGACGCCTGTGTGGCGTCGAGCTGCAATATCGGCCTCTTCTTGCTCACGCTTAAGTCGTCTCTGGTCCGCTAAAAGTTTCTGCCATGAGATTGCATAAAATGGGCAGTGAATCATCTGGTCCAGGGTAGGGTTAACTGACAACAAAAACAACTAAGGAAAAAGGTGTTGGGTCAATAGAGAGGAATTTGGACAGTCGGATGTCAGAGAGGCTTTATGGGTTCAATTCCCACGTTTCCCCGGAACCACTCTGGTTAGCTATATCCTGAAGTGCAGGGAGGAGGCAGCATTGCCCAGGAGAAGCCCACGAGAAACCCAGGGAAAGCTGGGATGCAGGGAAGGAGAGATTCCACAGTTACTCTGTTTATAAACAGCCCCCTGGCTCAGCCAAAAGCCTCCTGCTTCCTGATACACAGTAGCCAAGGTCAGGTGACCCAGGGGGACATCTGGACATTCACAAGCATGCTGGGGTGGCACTGTGGCCAGCTGTCTTGACTATGCTCACTTGGCCAGTGATTAATTTCCACAGTATATTCCCATGCTGGAAGCAGTAGGCTGATGCTTCCTGCCTAAGGCAGGCCTAATTCAACATGCCAAAGAGCACTTATCACGTGGGGTTTGTGGCAACTCTATCATTTTAGAGCTTCCTCCTTCTATTACTTTTTATTGAGAGGGCAGAGATTTAGAAAATATGGCGTCCTTTTCTCGTAAGTCAGATGACCCTTCCTCTGGCCTTAGGAAGGTTGAAGAGATCTTGGGACAGGCATCAGGGTTTATCTGTGTGATTGACAGAGAGCAGCAGATTCTTTCTTGATTCTGTTTGGGCAGGGGGGAAGGGAGTGGGATTGGGTATACATCCAGCTGTGCTCAGGTCTTACTTCTGGCCCTCTGCTCAGGGATCATTCCTGGTGGGCTCAGGAGACCATATGTGGTGCCAGAGACTGAACTTGAGTTGGCTGTGTATAAGGCACATGCCCTACTCACAATAATCTAGTCCATGATTATTTTTTCATTGGGTGAAATGATGCTTAGTTTAAGGGAATGATATATAATATGAAAACAGAAAGTACAGTAAGAATAATGGTGTCTGGGTTTAGAAAAAAAATACCCACTTATCATTAAAAATAATTAAATAATATTGACTTTTACCAAAGGTACTCTTTGTTTATTGTAATGACATGAAATAGAATGTTAACATCTTTTCTTATTCCATATCACCTAAATATTTCTGGTATTAGTATTTCTTGTAGAAGAGCACTCATTAGACTGATAGTTCTTAGCAAACTCAATAAAATAGCAGTCTTCTTCCAGGAGGCAATTCGGAGACACTGAGCTCAAGGTGGCCCTGATTTTTCCTTTTTTCTGTAGGATCTACAAATACTAAGGCAGCAATTAATCGAATGACTGAGTTTTCTAGTGTTCAGGTAAGTTGTTGTAAAATTACAATAAGACAGGAGAAAGTAATTTTCATGCACAGTGCTCTATTCTTGGGTAGCAGTCCAGGAATGTGAAGCCAACTAGCTCTCCCTCTAATACAAGTTGATTTACAATATGATCCTGGGCAAGTCAGATCCTGCTTCAGTCATACCTTTGATATAACAAGAGGGGTGGTTAGATTATCACCTTGCCTGTACAACTGACATGTTATTTTTGTCAATGTTAATAAGAACTGCTAATATTTTAAAATGTCAGAACTGAATCCCATTCACCAGGAAAAGTGCCTTGTTTCTATAACTGATGCTTGAGGATAACATGTTTCTTGGCTCACTGACTAAGGAAAAATAGAATCGGTGAAAGTGATTCCATGCAGTGTTGGGGTCTGCAAACCCATCTCTCCCCTAGTTTAATCACTGAGGCCATGAATAATGGTTAAGACACATTCTTAAAGCACTTGTGAGCCAGTGGGAATTAGATACAAATGGCTTCTCTTATGAATGTGCCTTTAGTACATCAACTACACAACCTGCTTCTTAGAGAAACAGGCCTGCAGTGCAGTGAGCAAGAATTCTATCAAAGCTTTCCATGTCGGATAGCAACTTAGACCAATGAAATGCTGGGCCATGGTCTTTTATCGTAGTAGCTCAGGCCTATACAGGGCACATTCTTTTTTTTGGGGGGTCACACCCGGCAATACACAGGGGTTACTCCTGGCTCATGCACTTAGGAATTACTCCTGGCAGTGCTCGGGGACCATATAGGATGCTGGGAATCGAACCTGAGTTGGCTACATGCAAGGCAAATACCCTATCAGCTGTGCTATCGCTCCAGCCCCTACAGGGCACATTCTTATATCTCCATGACAAGGTCTACAAATGATCTGATCTGTGACCGCAAGGACATGCACTGTGTTTTTCATTATTAAAAAGAAGTTTTTTGCACCTGTTCTTCAAGCCATGTTCTCCGTTGAACACGTTTCTCCCTTGTCTCTCTGTTTCTTTGCTTATTTTCACTCTTGAGAAGCCCGTGTGTTCTCTCCTGAACACACACGTCTCCCTTTCTTTTCCCTCACATCTTTCTAAATAAGTTTCAATAAAAATTATGTTGCTTCACATACAAAAAAATAATTCTGTGTGACCAGTGTTCCCTCTGGTTTCTTTCTGTGATTAGGAACAAGTGTCTGTGTGGCATCTGGAGAAGGGGTGGGCCACAGATTACTTTGTTGTCTCACTACCGGGCAGCTGATAACCATTCCGCTGTCCTCAAAGCCTACAACCATCTGAAGAATTACCCCCAAAATCCTTAAAGAAAGTTCCCTAAACTCTGGAAAACAGTCAAATAGCAGAAACCAAGGACTTCAGAGTTTACAGAAAAAGAGACAAAGCTGTGGACAATGAACATGCCTCTTCTTCCTCCTGATACCAAGTCAAAGCACTTCTTAGGAAAAATGGACACCAGAGTTTGATTAATCTACAGGAACCCTGCTCCTGGGAAGATAAAGTCCAAAGGCATGCCTCATGAAGACTTTATGATTTGGTTGTTTTTACAGTGCTGGGAATCAAACTTGGGATCTCCACCTGAGAAGAATGTGCTCTACCACCAGTTTTCATTCCTGACCACTTCTACTCCATGGCGACTTTCTATCAAAACAGACACATGGCTTTGCTCATTTGGTAACTATCCGGGCCTGTTCATCGCACTGCTGTGGACACATGTGCAAGAGCAGGACCAAGATCTGCTATGGTTGGTTAGGCTCCTTCATCGTCAGAGGGCTAGTTCTCTTATCCAAGTTAAAAGCAACTTCCTTAAATGTTTTTTTTATAACACTTATCGTGTTCATTATGATTTTCATCTTTGTCTTAAATGCTCTTTTCTAAATTTTAACTGTACTTTGTGGCAAAAACAGAGTTCTTGAGAAAGCATGGGTGAATTTCCCTAGAGAAAACCAGAGTGGGGGATAGGCGGGGGGGTGAGGGGAATAGGAGTGGCAAAAAATATGGAGCAAACACCAGGTTCCCAAGGTTCCCACCCATGAGATCTGAATGTAGTCATGGGTAACTTCTTCCTGAAACTCTCATGCAATAGTATACTGGATGGACTTGGGATGTAGATTCTATTGTCCTTTGTTGTGGTGGGGGATGCCCTACTTTTTGGAAAAATGAATTTAAAAAGGTATTCATGAGCTTATCTCACATAATAAATCACTTTGCGTCTAAATGCTCAGTCATCTCACCTCTCTCACAGATATCTAGAATGCACACTTCTTATTTTTATCTGAGCAAAAGCTAAGGTTGTAAAGATGGCATTTTACCTCTTTATCATCATGTCGCCTCCGAATATAATCTTCTGCAGATTCCAAATAATCAGCTGGTATAAAATGTCTTGGTGATTCTGAATCTTCAAGACAACAAAGTAGAATTAAAACAGGCAAAGATTTAGTAGGAACCCAGAGTGGGAAAAGATTTCACCTTCCATCTGTTACAAATAAAGTTGTTAAAGTTATTGATCAATGATCCACAAACAAATTCTTAAGGAATAAAACACATCTCCACCTCCCAGCCCCCCCTTTTATTTTAACCTTGTGAAGTAGTTTCATACAAAGAAAACTAATCAGAAGGTCAAAAGATGAGCAAAAAGAGAGAACTTCTTTGAAAACTTGTCCCTCCTAAGAGGCGTGCAGGATCTCACAGGGACACACTGTACACTCACACACTCGCAAACACACGGCCACCAAGAGTGGCTGCCTCTCGAAAAAACCCTGGGTGAGCGGGACGGAAGCAAACCTCACCAAGAGTTCAAATGAACAAATTTCTCAGAGGAGCGCAACGGCCAATTTTTCTTTCGAAATAAAGAGTTTGGCGGTTAGTCTAAATGGCATGGGGGTTTTGTTTTTAAAGAAGAGCAGCCACTACGAGCCATGATGGATTGCCAAGCAAAACAAACAGAAAACAAAGGACGGACCAGAAAAGGAACACCGGGGCCACAGAGGAAGGGGGGGACAAAGCAAGCAGTGGAGAGATGGGTGAAGTGAGACTGGGCAAAGACACAAAGGCCACCTCCAAGGGATGTTCCCAGTTCACTTTGTGGGTTGTTGTTCCTGTCCAGGCCGTGGTCTGAGTATGGCCCAGGGTTCCCATTGTTAAAGGCCCCTGGGCAGTCCTGGGGGGCCTCGTGTCTCTCCTGGGGGGGCTCTGTGGTCCGGCTCAGTCTGGCCATGGCCTGCCGGGAAGACACGCGTTTGGGGACGGGGGGCTTTCCCCCGGCGGCGTGGGGCTCATCCAGAGGGGGCTGACTGGGGAGGTCTGGCTTCTGGCCCGCCAGGGGGCCTGAGAGGTCACTGGGGGAAGTCTGTCTGGGGGCGTGCTGGAGGGGCTTTTTCAACCGGAAAGGGAGGGGGCTCATCAGGTAGATGTTTCTGAGGAGGGCGTTCTTGTCGCCTCTGGGGTCCGGGCGCCAGTCCGGCTGCCGGGGCGTCTGCTGCTGCTCGTGTTTGCGGATGGTGGTGAAGCGCGTGTAGGAGGCCGGGCAGGTGCCCTTGCACTTGGGGAGGCGGTGCTTGGGGAAGTCTCCGTGTACGCTGCCACTGCTGCCCTCTCGGCTGTCACTGGAGACATTGGAGCAGCGGTCCAGATCGTCGGAGCACATGGACAGGGGCTCGGAAGGCAGGGGGCCCCGGAGGCCCAAGGTGGGCTCTGCCACGTTGCTGCAGGTCGGGGAGGAGTAGATCCCCCGGGGGGTCATGCCCTCGATCTCCCTGGGCCGGAGCTTGGTGGATTCCAAGAGGGACTCAGCGGAGCGAGCCGCCGTCAGGCCCAGGCGGGACAGCACCGGTGTGGGGGACTTGCTGAGCCGGCCCGACAGGTCCAGGGACGGCATGGACCTGGAACGCTGGATTAGCTGCTCGAAGGCTGTGATGCGGGAGGAGACGGTGTGCTTGGGGATGTGCTCGGAGCCCTCCTGGCTGGCCCCCAGCTCCCCTCTGGCCAACGCCAGGCCACTCCTTTCAAAGTGGGACGCGAGGTCACGAACACTCGAGGAGGAGACCGAGCCGGGGAAGAGACCGGCCCGGTTGATGTGGTGCATGTCCCGATAGAGCATGGAGAACTGCATGCCGGGCTTCCTGGAGAGAGGACACGGCCTCCGGGCGCTGGTGCCGTACTCCTGCAGGCTCAGGGTGCTGCTGGACCGGCCATCGTACTCCCGCCGGGACCGCATGAGCAGGTTCTCGATGCTCCCCCCCAGCTGCAGGGGGAAACCTCTCCTGGCATCATTCAGAGAGGCGGAAACGCACAGGTTCTCACAGCTCTGAGTCTTCTCAGAGGGCAGCAGGATGCTCTTCTGGTCCCGCAAAAGAGCGCTGGGAGCAGAGAGCCTGGGTTTGAATTTGGAGGGGAGGATTTCCGAAATGCAGGCTTTGGCGGCGGACAGGGGTTTCTTGTGCTTACACACAGGGCCTAACGCATGGCTAGTGTTAGCTGTTCGGCTAGGAACTGAAGATGAAGAAATCATGTAAGCATTCCCACCTTTACGATCCACTGGAAAGCATGCAGAATAAAATAAACACACCCATTAGGTTAAAGCTGAAAGCTGCAAAAAAATAAAATAAAATAAAGTGGGGAGGCTGGGGTGGGGTGGTGATCTGGGAGAGGTAACATGCTCATTGGTCATAAGAGGGTATTTGGTTTTCCTTTAATTCCCAGTTGATGTCCTGAAGCAAAATGATCTGCGCTGCGAAGCAGGTGCAAAGATGCAAAGGAAAAAAAATTAATAAATGGCTACCCTGCTAGAATTAGGAAAGGCTAAAGCTCAGCTGATATCTAAGAAAAGGGAATCAAAACAAAAAAGAGAGAGAGAAAAAGAGAGATGCTTTGGGGAGAGAGAGGGTGAGGGCTTGAAGGAAAGGAAACTATTAATACCAGAAAGAAAAATGGCCGGTGGAAAATCTGGGAAGGGCTCAAAGGCCTGTGGGGTCTGATCCAGGCAGAAGTTCTCCCACTTGCTGGAGGAGCACCTGCCACCACGCCCTGGAAGGGCTGTGGAGGGGTGAGCGGCCTGCAGGACGTGCCCAGTTACCTTTCGTGGAGGCCGAGCTGGAGGGCCGCTTGAGCCCACTCAGGCCCTGGAGAGGGATATCGCCACCTTCCAAGACGCTTTTATAAATCTGCCTCTCGTTTTCCAAGCTAGCCAGATCCCCAGGAGCCCCATCGGATTCCTTCTTCACTGCATGGAAGTTGGAAGAATAAACACTAAGAACAAGGTGATGTGAAAAGAAAAAGGGAAAAAGAAAGACAAGGAGTTAGTATTTTTGTTCTTTTATTTTATCTTTCTTGAAAAACATACTATCAGCTGAGGACATAAAAACAGACTTCTTTATCATCCGAATTGAGAACCATCTTTTCTCAAGGGCATTCTTACTTAGCATAGAGTTCTACAAAAAAGATAGGCTCATGTCCCACGTGGATGCTCAGGAATTGTATCCAAAGAGGAGAGTGCTCTGATTGTATGCATGATTTAAAACAGAGGGTCCCAAAATTAATTTGGTCTATGCTGCCCCCCTTCCTGCCCCCCCCCTTCCAGGGCTGGAGCGATAGCACAGTGGTAGGGCATTTGCCTTGCACGCGGTCGACCTGGTCAGCCCAGGTTCGATTCCTCTGCCCCTCTCGGAGAGCCCGGCAAGCTACCAAGAGTATCTCACCCGCACGGCAAAGCCTGGCAAGCTACCCGTGATGGTGATGTATTCGATATGTCAAACACAGTAACAACAAGTCTCACAATGGAGGTGTTACTGGGCCTGCTCGAGTAAATTGATGAACAATGGGAGGACAGTGCTACAGTGCTGTCCCCCTCCCCAACAAAACAAAATGTAAAAGGTAAAGGTAAAGGCCCTCCTGTTGATCATCGATTTGCTCGAGTGGGCCCAGTAACGTCTCCATTGGAGACTTTGTTGTTACTGTGTCTGGCATATTGAATACGTCACGGAGAGCTCGCCAGGCTCTGCTGCGCGGGCAAGATACTCTCGGTAGCTTGCCGGGCTCTCCGAGAGGGGCGGAGGAATCGAACTCGGGTCAGCCACGTTGGCTGCGTGCAAGTCAAACGCCCTACCGCTGTGCTATCGCTCCAGCCCTAAAACAAAAACAAAAACAATTCAGCACATCCTTAGAAATCAATCTTAAATGAACAAGGTGCCCCCAAAGTTGCACCCGAGGACAATTATGAACTCCACCCTCCCCTTAACCCCAGCCCTGCCATCATTCAGCACAGAGCAGAGATTGGGGGATCTGGGGTGGGGGGAAGTAGTACTGCCCACTTTGGAAAGCGTATTTTAAAAATAACTGGGATACAGTGCCTAGGATGGGAGTGAGGTATGGGGATCATAGGACGAAGACAGAGAGGTGTCAGGGAAATGGCAGGAAGAAGGGAGGAAGAAAGAAAGGGCTGGAAGGAAGGGATGAAAGATGCTAGAGGGCAGGCGGGAAGAGGGGAAGGAGGTGGACAGGACAGGAGTTGGGAGGGTGGAGGTGGGGGAAGGCAAGACAGGGAAGCTGAGGACCCAGCAGCTGTGCACAAACGAGGTACGGATCTCACTGAAGCATCCCACTTAGAGGCCTATGAGTGTCAGTGATTTCAAGCCCTCTACTTGGGTCATTTTTCCAGGCTATTATTCTTCGTAGAACAGCCCTTGGCGGAAAGAAGATTAAAATCGACCAGGAGAGGAGGCAGCCCAGCTGTCTTGGGAACCCAGGAAGGCAAGTGGCACCTGGGACCCTACGCATTCTTGTTATGCAGCCGGGCTTTCTACCCACTTCTCTTCGATACTTGTGTTCAGAACTTTGGACCCATGTTGTTAGTATAAACTACTGCTCATTTAGACCCTTCATTTATTTTCATCTCCTTGAAATTCGAGGTATTTATTTTTTCAAGTTACTACAAATCCTTTCTGGAATGAGGTGGGGCACAGAAAAAAAAAAGAAAAGTGAAAAGTCCTCACTTGCTGAGTCTCCCTCCTCCCTAATCTCAGGGTTTTCTGCCTCACCCAGGGACACAGGGGAGTGACCCCTTCCTGCAGTAGAATGCTCAGGCTTCCACTGGGCTACTTTCCCTGCCAAATGAATCTGGTTTGCTGAATTCAACATGAATTTTCTAGCTCTGAAGATGTACATGGCTTGGTGGAATTTCTTTATTCCAATATTTTACTAGGAATGTGATCAAATATAGAGAAAAGTTGACAGAATCACTCTAGTACCTCTCTCCAGTCCTCCTTTCATCAGCAGTCAGATTCTTCAGGGGAAAATGCAGTTAGGGCTGCATCTGCTCTAACACATGCCTGGCCCTCTCTTTCCCTCTACCCAAGCTGCCAGTGATGGGGCTGTTTTCACATCCCAACCAACCACCTGCTGCTTTGGGATGGTCTTTAACGTTTTTCCTTTTGGTTAAGTTTTTAGATTCTGTCCTTCACCATTTCCGCTTTTTTTTTTTTTGGTATAACCCTGGCTGCAAAAGAGATCCATGTGTAGATGCCCTTTAGTTCCTGCCAACCAACAGCCATGGCAACCATTACATCCATTTTGTAAAAGGACAGTATCTAAAGCCCTACTTGCCTTGGTTTGGGGCTTCCCAGTCCTCCCTCAGAACTGGGGAGTGACTAAAGTAGTTTCCATCCACTTCCTTTGTCTCTGTTTACTGTTCTCTAAAATTGACTGAGCCCAGATTGGAATGTCCCAGGTCAGAACTTCTCACTTAGTTGCTCCCAACTTGCTCCAGTCCTGACTCTCAGCCTGACCTCACAACTCCTCTACCTCATTAGTCATCCAAACTCACAGCCATCACAAATTCTGGCTTTAATCCACCCCTTATCACTATTTTTTTCCTCCAGCCTTCCCACCAAAATGATGAACCAGCACTCAGGAAATCTCTTAGAACAGATTTGCTACAGCCAATTGTTTTCTTTCTGATACAAAAGCCAACAAGCTTTTTCCAGATGTGCAACACATTGCAACTGAGGTGCTCTTTATTTAAAAACTATTATCTAACAGCTCTGAAATGGCATATTTAAAATCTATTATTCCATCAAATTTCCATATGTTGGAAAGACACGCACCATTTGTCTTCTTATACTAAAGGGTAAACTGGGGACCAGAGTAGTGAAGGCGTTTTACAAAGCCCAAGAGTTCTTGGATCTTTGCTATGCTCAAATAGATCAGAGAGGATTAAAGAAAGCGGGCTGGGACCAGAGAGATAGCACAGACAGTTCTTGCCTTGTACCCCACTAATCTCTGGTTCAAATCTTCAACACTTCATATGGGCCTCTGAGCACTGCCAGGGGTCATTCTTGAGCACAGAGCCATGAATAACCCCAGAGTTCCACCAGATATGGTCCCAAACCAAACACTGGGATATATAAAAAAAAAAAAGCAGTTTGGTAGTCCAGGTTGATTGCGAAAGGCCCAGTCAGGATTAGCAGCTACTGATTACTTAACAAAAACAGGTTCCATTCAGATGCTCAGCACAGAGCAACCTGGACTGAGATAGCTTTCGGTTCAGATAATGCTAGCCAGGGCCAGGGAGAGAGCTCAAAGAGCTCAAGCATATGCCTGGAATGCCCAGGGCCCCAGCTTTAATCCCAGGCATCACAAGGCCTGCTGAGTGTAGTCCTAGTGGGCCTCAGCATTGCTGGGGAGCATCCCCCAAATGAAACAAAAGAGCAAACCAGCTGACCGCAGGAAGAACTCAACCTCCAGCTAAGACAGAGCTGGCTGCTGAGTTTTAAGGGAATTCAACAAAAACATACTCACTGGGAGAATAAAGTAAGAGAACAGAGCAATCATCTCAGGGCTGACAGTTTCCAGTTGTGCTAGCGGACGGGCTCTGGACGCGCAGGCGGGGTCTTGGCAAGCTGTGATCCCAGCCTGACTCCATAAAGGAATGTGTCACAGCTGAGAAAATGGGAAACAGCGGGCTGGAGCAATAGTACAGCGAGTAGTGAATTTGCCTTGCTCTTGGCCAAGCTGGGTTTGATCCCTGGCACTCCATATGGTCCCCCAAGCTCACCAGGAGTGATTCCTGAGTGCAGAACCAAGAGTAAGCTATGAGCACTACTGGGTATAGCCCCCCAAAACAAAAATAACAATGGGGAAAAATGAGTTGCTCTTAGCCTTAATTTCTTTCAGCTATAAAACTATAAGGCAAGGTAACACTCAAAATGTTGTCAAATCTGTTATCTCAGGGAACAGAGAGGGATAGTAAAAAAGTTAAACCACCTGCCTTGTATGCAGCTAGTCCAAGTTTGATCCCTGCACCACATATGGTCTCCTGAACACTACCAGGTATGGCCTAGAACCCCTTTCCCCTTGCAGAAGTCTGTTTATAAACCCTTCTTTTGAGCGCCTGACACATACCTTCAAATGCTTCCTGAACATCTCCACTTGGAGGGTCCTAAGTTATCTGAAGCCGAACATGTTCCAAGCCAAACCCAGTGCTATGCCTCAGCCTCCATCACCAACTCCAGGGAATCAACCTCCTTTTCACCTCCTTTTCCTTAGAAGCTAAATCAATCACCAGGTCCTATTTTCTCCCTGTATTTGATCCTTTCCTGTTGTCCCCTGGGTCTCACCTCACCCTGGCTCCCCTACACCTCTGCAGAGACCACACAATTACCCTCAGACATCTCGGATCAACTCTACAAACCACTACCAGTGAAATTTCTAGAAAAGATTCCATCCCACCATTCCAGTGGTCGTTTATTCATTCAGTAAAAATTTATTGAGCTTCTGCTAAGTATCAGTTACTCTCCAAGTTCAATAGAGAACAAAACGGACTGAGGAATATATAGCAGTGGTTATTACATTCATTATTCAAAAACACTTGGTTTTTTGGTGCTGGAGAGATAGCACAGCGGGTGGGGCATTTGCCTTGCACACAGCCGACCTGAGTTCGATTCCCAGCATCCGATATGGTCTCCTGAGCACCGCCAGGAGTGACTCCTGAGTGCAGAGCCAGGAATAACCCCTGTGCATCGCCGGGTGTGACCCAAAAAGAAAAAAAAAAAAACACTTGGTGTTTTCAGGAAGAAAGGAGTACAGGAGAATGGAAGGTATCAAATAATGGCAAATCTTTGACCTGGGATTACAGAACTGAGAGTAGTATCAAGTCAGGCAGAGAGAGAGGTGAGGAATGATGGGGTAGACTGACAGAACATAAGGAACATTGGTGGATGGTCTCGGGCACTTTGGGGGTGGTGAGGTGAGGT